AACTTTTGTACTGATATATTTGAAAAAAATCATTATTTCACCTTTATTTAAAAAAATATTTATATATAGAAGAACTGGGGTGTAGGCCAGAGGTGCAGGGAGGAGTTGTTAGAGGATTCATCAGAGATAGAGTAGGGAGAAGAACAGAAGGATTGACTGAAATACACTGCTAAGGGGAGCAGCAGGGGAGAGATAAGAGGCAGGGGATCTAACTCAGGCTGCAGCAGTGATGGTGCTGAGATGTAACAACTCTGCCATCAGAAAGGCCCCCTTGACCTTTCTTAATGAAAGATATTTCACTGGAATAAAATTTGAGGTTTACAATTTTTTCTTTCATAACATCGAGATACTGGACATTCTCATTTACATTGTTACATATTAAATGTCTTTCTTCTTCTCTACATATATTGAATCTTTTGTCTGACTGCATCTAAGCTATTATCATAGCCTATGCCTTGGAGACATTTTCTCAGTTTTTCTTGTGGTTGAGACTAAAGACACTTAGGCCTCTGGGTTTGGAGTAGCCATCAAATTTGGAAGATTGTCAAATATAATTCTGCAAATATTTTAGCTGTCCCTCACTTTCATCAGTTGCACAAGTATTAGATCACTTAATAGTATTCCACCAGTCATTAGTGTTCTTTTTGGAAAATAAACTCTGGCTTTTCATTTTAGATACTTTTGCTGCTATATTATTAAGTTCACCAATCTTTGTTCTGACATGTTCAATCTGCTATTTCAACATTTGGTGCATTATAAAATTCACGTTCTATTTCTCATTTCTAGAAACCTGATTTGAGTCTCTTTTTCTTTCTTTTTTTTTTTTCTTGTGGGACCCTCTCTGGTGGCTGGGGATTGAACCGGCAGGCGCTGCAGAGGCTGTGGGCAGCCTCGCAACCCAGCACTCAACTGCTGCACCACCAGGGGAGGCCCTGGGTCTTTTTTTTAATCTTCCATGCCTTTAATTTTAAAATTGCTATAATAGTGTTTTAATGCTCCTGTCCTAATTTTGATATTAGTGTCAGTCTTAGGTTGTTTTCAGTTGATTGATTCTTCTCCTCATTATTGGTATATTTTCTGTTTCTTTTCATGCTGGCAATTTTGTGTTATTATTTATGTAGACATTTTGGATTTTATGTTGTTTATTCGTGGATATTTTTGTATTCCTATACATATTTTTATACTTTCATTTGGGATGCAGTAATGTTATTTGAAAATGATGGGTCTGTCTGGTTTTCTGTTTCTTCCTGATTCAGTCTTGGAATGCTATGATTCTACTTCTAAGTAGACAATTTCTTGCCTGCAATTATTCATAACACTCTCTTATGATCATTCGTATTTTCATAGTATTTGTGGTAACTTCTCTTTCATTTATGATTTTGTTATTTGCATATTCTTTCTCCTTTCCTCTGACCAAAGGCTTCTATAATTTTATCAATGTCTTCAAAGAACCAACTCTTGTTTTTATCATCTTTTGAGTTGTCTTTCTAAAGCTCTATTTCATTAGTGTCTGCTCTAATTTTTATTATTTCTTCCTGTCTATTGACTTTTTGTTTTGTTTTTTTTTTTTCTTCTATTTACAGTTCCTTTACCTAGTGGATTTAGAATGGATTTCTTATTTGTGATTATTTTTGTTCCCTGAGGTAGTCTTCCATTACTATAATCTTCCCTCTTAGTACTATTTTATATACATCTTAAATCTTCCAATTAGTTATGTCTTCATTTTCATTCATCTTTGGCATTTTTTTTAGAGGCATGTTTTTATTTATTTATTTGTTTGTTTGTTTGTTTATACATGCACTGGGTACAGTCAGAAGCGCGGGAGGGTGAGAGAATTCACCAGAGCCAGAGCGGGGAGCAGAGCAGGCAGAAGGACCGAAGTACACTGCTGAGGGGAGCAGCGGGCGGCAGGAGAGGTCTGCGCGCCATGTGGGACCCTCCTCCGGTGGCCGGGGAGCAGGCGGGGATCAAACCAGCCCTGCAGAGGCTGCAGGCAGCCACCGGGGAGGCCCATGCATATTTTTTTATTTCACCTTTGATTTTGCAATTGACTCAACATTTGTCCCAAAGCATATGTTTATTATCCACAAATTTGTGGTTTTCCCTTTTAATTCTTTTGGTGATCTCGGCTTTCACGCCATTATTATCCAAAAAGCTGCTTGATAAGATTTCAGTCTTCATAAATTCATTGATACTTGCTTTGTGTCTTCACATATGATCTATCCTTGAAAATTATCCATGAATACAAAAGAAGAATGCTTTTAAGAGAATATTCTGTTAACATATGTATTAAGTCCATTTTGTCCAATTTGGTATATAACGATATTGTTTTCTTAGGGATTTTCTGTCTGGATGATCTGCCTGTTGCTGTCAATGAGGTGTTAAAATCTCCTGCTATTAATTGTGTTTCTGCCAATGTCTCCTTGAAATATGTTAACTTTCGATTTATCTTTTGTAGTGTTTTTCCTTTGTTGGGTGCGTATATATCAATAAGTGTTATGTCTTACTATTGTATCAATCCCATTACCTTTATATAATATCTATCTTTGTCATTTGCTACCTTTCTTGGCTGGAAGTCCATTTTACCTAAGACTGGCTGCCCATACCTAAAATCCCCTAAATTTTGGCTTGTAGTATTGGTTTTTATATCTTCTCTTTGAAAACAGCATGTAGTTAAGGTTTTCTTTTTAATCTGTAGGTCACGCTCTGCCTTTTGGTTGATGTGTTCAGTCCATTTACATTAAGAGTAATTATTGAGGGCCTCCCCGGTGGCGCAGCGGTTGAGCGCTGGGTTGTGAAGCTGCCCGCGGCCTCTGTGGCGCCGGTTCGATCCCCGGCTGCTCCCCGGCCACCAAAGGAGGGTCCCACATGGCGCGCAGACCTCTCCTGCCGCCCGCTGCTCCCCTCAGCAGTGTACTTCGGTCCTTCTGCCTGCTCTGCTCCCCGCTCTGGCTCTGGTGAATTCTCTCACCCTCCCGCGCTTCTGACTGTACCCAGTGCATGTATAAACAAAACAAACAAACAAACAAATAAATAAATAAAACATGCCTCTATAAAAAAAAAAAGAGTAATTATTGATATATAAGGGTTATTATCATCATCTTGCCTTTAGTTTTCTGGTTCTATTTCCTTGTTCAGATTTTGTTTTGTTTTGTTTTTTTGGACTAAACCTATATTAGGATAGTCTAAAGCCCGTTTCCCCCCCCCCCAAATTGTGGACCGGCTTTCTTTTGTAATGCCTTTAAAAGTGAAAAAGCAAACCTCAATTTATAAATGCTATGTCCAGCTTTCATCATTCCTACAAGTGAAAATGTGATGCTATACAAACATTTTTTCTTTTGTCACAGTAGACAATTACATTTTTATGAAGATAGAAACAGAATTCATGCTATAATTTCCTATTAAAATTATTTAAAAAAACTAATTACCTTTCAATGTAGATAAATTTCACAACAATTAACATATGTCTTAAATTGTGGTATATTACTCACAGGGGTAAAACTTCTTTACAAAGTAGTTCCATTATAACTTAAATAGTCTTTGTAAGGGTAATACCAACTTACAATTTTAACATTATATCTACTGTTCCTTCAAGTAACATATGCGAAAAAGGATAAAGTAGTGAAAAGTGTAGTGACATGTACATTTAAGATGGTACCAGTGTGGCTTCAAATCCTAAATAGCTTATATATACTATATTTTATACACCATCTTCATTGATTTCAAGTAACATCTGTTTAGAGAACAAAGTTACACAAAAGTGAATTTCTATGAGCACAGTTAGTTTAGATTATTATACAGGTTGTCTATTTAGACTAAATTAGTTGGAAGTTTGCTAAATGTTATCTTTACTTAGTGTAGTTTAGATAGAACTACATTACTAATTCATATAGAAAAATTACTTACTGAAGTGGAGGACACCTAGCCTCAAATGTCACACTTAATAGCAATACCTCTCAAAATACACAGTTGCTAATGAAGATGAAATACATCACAGATGTTCATCAAATCTCCAAACAATACATTTCAAAAGAGAGAACAAATGATTTCCTAAAGTTAAAGACTTTAGGGGTCTTTGGTTTGAGAACAGGATGAACCTGATGAAATGCAAAATCTTTGCTAGTAATTAGTAACCCAGAGATTCTCAATTCAGCTATAGCTGAGAAGTAAAGATTATCTTAACAGAATATCTTCCAGCTGCATAATAGTTCCCCCAGGAACTATTATTAAAATAATAGTATTATTTTAATTGTAAAATACAGAGAATGCTAGAGGTTTTAAGATATAGTATGAGAATTATTTTCTTGTAAAGGCATTTTGTTGAAAATATTGTAAAATAGGAAAATATCAAACACACCAAAAAGTATATACTCCCTCAATTTCACATTGCACAGAATTCCTAGGGGGAACAGCAATTTGTCTGTCATTTTCAATAGATAAGTCACTTTGCCCATGATGCAATAAAATCAATAACTAAAAAGTGTTGGTGCCTTACCTCGTGGCATCAGGATACTTCCCCCTTCCGTGATTGGCTGTGCTCCTTTCGGCCCAGTGCGCATGACGAACTCCGGCGCACCAAATAAGGACATGTGCCCTTCCGGGATTAGCTTCTTTTGGCCCAGTGCGCATGACAGCCTCCGGCGCACCAAATAAGGTTATGTGTTTGATCATTGGCTAGGCACTGTTGGCCTGCTTCTTCCGCTTCTGGTCCCCAGCTATAAAGCCCCGCCGAAACCGAAAGTACAAGAGACCTGCGATAGCTGAACGAAGAGTGCACGTGTCTCCCCCCGTGGTGTACCCCTGTTCTTCAGGTCGCTGCTCTCCCCTCGAGAACCTCATTGACCAGTCCATGGGCTCGGGCAGGTGGCGCCCAACATGGCGCTCGAGGTACTAGAGATTTCCAGTAGACCCAGACGCGGCACGCGGCGCGAGTTACTCAGGCCCCGACCCACCCGGTGGGACAGTCATTAGGTAAGTTTTGGCGTCTGATTTGTTTAAAAATGGGACAGGCACTTAGTGAGCACCAGCTTTATGTTTCCCAGCTCAAGGAAGCTCTTAGGACACGCGGAGTTAGGGTTAAGTCCAAGGACCTCTTTTTATTCTTTGATTTTGTCCAAGAAACATGCCCGTGGTTCCCTAAAGAAGGAACTATTGATGAAAAACGCTGGCAGAGAGTGGGAGATGCTGTCAATGAGTTTTACCAAGTTTTTGGGCCTGAAAAGTTTCCCGTAACGGCCTTTTCATATTGGAATCTTATTAATGATCTGTTGGCTAAGCAAAAAACTGATCCTGGCTTACAACATGCTATCTCCCATACTGAAAATATCCTTAAAAGTGCCCCCTCCAGTGTAGCTGAGACTCCCTCTTCCAGGGCTTGTGGTGAGGACCTAATTTCATCCCATAGTGAGGATGAAGAAATTTCGCCCCCAAAACATGCGACAGGGGTCCCCAACCCTTGTGATGAGACTAATCCCCAAAGTAATGTGCCCCCAGTGCCAGATGGTGCCCCCCAACCTGCCGGCACCCCCGTAAAGGAGCCCCGTCCAAATACACTTCCCCCATGCAAAAGCCTCTACCCTTCTCTGCCGCGACCCCGCCGTAGGTCTCCTTCGGCTTCCGAGGTAGACTGGGACGAGTTGGCAGAACAAGAGGGTCGCTACCGGCCTCCCCCCGCCTCTATTGCCAAGGACCCCATAAAAAAGCCTGTTTTAATGCAAACACTTGAGACCTTGGGAAACCAAATTAATACTCTTGTTAACTGTTTTGATAAATTGTGTGTGGCCTTCCCCGTGTCTGCTGACGGCCCTTCTGCTCCTCCCCCCCAAGTTAATCCGCCGCCATTTTGTCCTTCTTCTGTTCCCACCTTGCCGCCATTTTGCCCTCCTTCTTCCTCCCTTGTTGCCTTGCCGCCTTTTTCTTTGACTCCTCCCACTCAGCCGCCCTCTCCGTCCCTCCCTCCTCCTTCGCATCCTGCTCCATTACATCTCTTTCCAGTGGTTGAAACCACCAACGCCCAGGGCGTTGTTCAACGTCATCATGAGCCTCATAATTTCCGCAACGTTAAAGAACTAAAAGAGGCAGTGTCCCTTTATGGAGCCACGGCGCCCTTCACCCTCACTGTTTTGGACACCTTAGCCCAATCCTCTCTCACTCCGTCGGATTGGTACTCCCTGGCAAAGGCCACCCTTTCTGGGGGCGATCACCTCCTTTGGAAGGCTGAGTTTATTGATAATTGTAAGGTTTTTGAAAGACAAAACCGCGAGGCCCGCAATGGATGGACCCTTGAAATGCTAATTGGAGAAGGCAATTATTCTGATCAAAATAACCAAATCAATTTTCCACCCGGCCTTTATGCCCAAATTAGTGTTGCTGCCCTTAGTGCACGGCGCAAACTTCCCTCAAAAAACAATACAGGTACCCCCTTAATTAAAATACGTCAGGCTTCCAGGGAACCCTATTCTGATTTTGTTGATCGCCTCCAAACTGCTGCAGAACGCATGTTAGGAGATACGGCTGGATCCTCTGACTTTGTCCGTCAACTGGCCTTTGAAAATGCTTCTCCTGCCTGTCAGGCCGCTATATGTCCCATTCGCCGGACCACCTCTACCATTATGGATTATGTCCGTGCGTGTGCAGACATTGACCCTGCCTACCAACAAGGACTGGCCATGGCCGCTGCCTTCTCGGGACAGACGGTCGCCGCTTACGTGTCTGGCCAAACACAAGCTCAGGTTACTTGTTTTAAATGCAAAAAACAGGGCCATTTTGCTAGAAATTGTCCCTCGCCTGCCTCTCCCGCGGTATCCCGTTTGTCTCCGTTTCCCTTCACTAATCAACAACCTCAAACCACGGCTACTACTACCTCCGCTTCTTCCCGACCCTCTCAACTCTGCCCACGCTGTCGTAGGGGTTACCATTGGGCCCGCGAATGCCGCTCCCTCACTGACTCAGATGGAAATCCCTTACCCCCCCCATTCGGGAAACTTCAAGCGGGGCCAGCCCCAGGCCCCGCAACAAACAATGGGGTTCGTTCCATCGACGACCAGTCCCACCCCGATAAGTGGCCAACTTCCCGAGCCACCTCAGGTAGCGCCAGATTGGACCTCTGTGCCGCCACTGCCACATTATTAACTCCAGAAATGGTCCCACAGGTGTTATCCACCACGTCCAAGGGACCGCCCCCGGTGGGCACCTATGGCCTCCTCCTCGGCCGTTTCTCTCTCAACCTCCGGGGCCTGCATGTCTTTCCTGGAATCATAGATCAAGACTTTACGGGCACCCTTTCGGTTGTTGCCTCCACATCTCTCCCATTACAAATCCGCCAGGGCCAAAAAATTGCCCAGTTGGTTCCTCTCCCCCTGTTGTCTGGCCGCGACAACAAACCCTTCCTCATTGAGGGTCGCGCACTAATGTCACAGATGTCCTTTGGGTTCAGCCCGTAACTAAGGATAAGCCCTCCCTTACTCTTTCTTTGGACGGCCACTCTTTCACCGGCCTTATCGACACGGGAGCAGATGTCTCTATCATCCGCCAGTCTGACTGGCCTCCCTCCTGGCCTACCGTAGCCACGCTCACCAACCTTCAAGGTATAGGACAATCTGCCAATCCATTACAAAGTTCCAAACTCCTACAGTGGACAGACACAGAGGGCTATATTGGCCACGTTAAGCCAGTAGGTAGCACAGCCTACATGCTATGGGAGTCCCACCGTCCTGACCTTTGGCAGCCTTTTAACTTCAGTCATTATCCAGCTTCCTGGCTGGGGCCCCTTGAGGATGCTGGAATGGATAGCCAATGACGGGTAAGATGGAATGCGGGACAAGACCAACCTAAGACAGCCCGCGCTCCCTTTCCATCTAGGACCGTCAGGTGATGACGGTAAGGCTCGTCCCTGCAATTCACAACCTAAGACAGGCACATTCCTCCTCACTAATAAAGAGAAAAGGGGGATCTGTTGGTGCCTTACCTCGTGGCATCAGGATACTTCCCCCTTCCGTGATTGGCTGTGCTCCTTTCGGCCCAGTGCGCATGACGAACTCCGGCGCACCAAATAAGGGCATGTGCCCTTCCGGGATTAGCTTCTTTTGGCCCAGTGCGCATGACGGCCTCCGGCGCACCAAATAAGGTTATGTGTTTGATCATTGGCTAGGCACTGTTGGCCTGCTTCTTCCGCTTCTGGTCCCCAGCTATAAAGCCCCGTCGAAACCAAAAGTAAAAGAGACCTGCGATAGCTGAACGAAGAGTGCACGTGTCTCCCTCCGTGGTGTACCCCTGTTCTTCAGGTCACTGCTCTCCCCTCAAGAACCTCGTTGACCAGTCCACGGGCTCGGGCAAAAAAGAAAAGAAAGAACATGCCCAGAAAGCATCACAGAGTGATCCACATCAGGAAAATGTCTTCCTACGTACATCCATGAAACAATTCAATATATTATACATCTCATATCATTTTATCACTATGTGATGCCTGATTATCCACACACCTGCATTTTTGATGGTAGGTGGCCAAAAGCCCATGGTGTTGATAGAACAGTGAGAAGGAAGGTAGAGCAGCAAACACAGAAATGGCAGAATGCACAGCCACAGCCTGCAGTGATGGAGAGGGAAATGGTTGGGATTTGGGGAGCACACATCTCTAGAAATACCACACAAAAGTGAACAGAACCTATGCTCCCTTTCCCAAAACTGGATCAGACTTTGAATCCTGCAAATTCTCATAGCTTGATGCAGCAGGAAGAGGTCCCCTCCTTCTATACCTGCCTCTGCAGAGTGCTTGTTGCCGGTACCTCAAGCCTCAGCATCTGCCTACCCTACTTCCCCTCAGCCCCTAGACTACTACAGCTAGGTGAGCTCTGCCTACTATCAGGAACACTGCCTGCTGGTGCAGATGTACAGGTGAGTGCACCTGGGAATGCTAGGCGATAACCTGGCATCCTGAAAGTACCCAGATCTCCCCTGCCTAGAATCCTGGGGCTTCTCAGTCTTCCTAGCCTACTGGAGATGGATGAGTGCCACTTAAGGTATAGAACATTGACTACTGAACAGGTGTTGAGTTGACATACCCGGGGTGCTGACAACTAGTCCTGTGGTTCTGAAAGGCACCACTCACCCACTGAGGGGTGGGTGACTCCTGTTTCATATTTCTTTTAACAATGTCTTATCACTTTAGTTGTGCATAATTAAAATGTTATGGGGGTTGGAGAAAAAAAAATTTCCACTAGCCTGGGTTAAGTGAGCAGGGTCCCTATAGAACTATTGATGTAGTAAGATGAAGAAGAGTTGACACTATAGTATTTGAGCACTGGAAATAAATATGTTTCATTTCAAGAAATTGCATTCTTAATAAAGTATAATCATAAGTATATAACAATGTATTTTGAAAACAAACATGTTTTTTCAAGTACATAGGGGATTTTTGGTCTAAAAATTTTTGGACCAAAAATCCAGTGATGCCATAAAAATTATAATCTTCATTTTATAGATGGAAAAATTAAGATACAAAGAGGCAAAATCATATCACAATTATAAAATCAAATTATTGCATGGGAGCACTATTTTCCATATAAAACAGACTTATTCCTATATAGAACTTGAATGTAAATATTTAAGGGATAATTTCTAAAGCAATTGTTTCACATTAGTCTGTTTCCATTCTGTATTCTTTTCTCTATAGCCCAATATCTAATTTCTTTATTTTTCCTAGCAACTTTAAACAAAAAATACATAAGGTGAATATTCTAACCAATGAATTACAAGCAGCATATGTTAACAATGCAAAGTAAAGAGGCTGTGCTTTTTATTTGCATCTAAGTTCTCTTCAGTTTGCTAAAATTGTACTAAATGCATCTTGAAGTAACCTAGCTGCCAACTTGTTTTTGTTGTCAGAAAACATTATGAAACAAGGATAATTAAACTGTTTAACTATATAGGCAGACTACAATATTACTCTTATGAACATTAATTTGATTTAAAGTACTAAGTGATTCTAGTATTTGGGGAGATTTAGGGCATTAGGGAAGCTGAAACAAAGTTACTTTAATTTCTCATAGGTCAAAATTAGTTTTTCCATTCAATATTGCCAGTGAGAAAATGGAATCAGTCTCAATATTTTTTAACAAAACATGAAAATTGAGGTTTGTTGTACCATGCCTTTATATGAAAAGAAAAGAAAATCTTTTTCACAAGTAATTAAGATGAAAAGAGTTATGGGGGGATTGCAAATGTATGAGGAATATAAAAATAAAATTTATTAATTAAAAAAAAGAAAAGAGTTATTATTGGTATCCTGTGACTCTGTAATTGTATATTAATTACACTCATTATGAATATGCACTAGATCAATGAGTTGACATTACGACATAATTATCTCTCAGCTTTATAATCCTAATATAATTAGATTTCTAATAAATTTTTTTCTGGGCCAGATACCGGGCCAGATACCTATTTTCAAAGAGAGGTGTACATTATGTATTGTGCAGTAAAAAATAAATAGCAAGAGCTGTGATTTTGCTTTGTTTGGAAAATAACTAGCAAAGTAACATTACACCTTCACCTTTAACTTTTTTTTTTAAATTTTTTTAGAGGCATGTTTTATTTATTTGTTTGTTTGTTTGTTTATACATGCACTGGGTACAGTCAGAAGCGCGGGAGGGTGAGAGAATTCACCAGAGCCAGAGTGGGGAGCAGAGCAGGCAGAAGGACCGAAGTACACTGCTGAGGGGAGCAGCGGGCGGCAGGAGAGATCTGCGCGCCATGTGGGACCCTCCTTTGGTGGCCAGGGAGCAGCCGGGGATTGAACCGGCGCCGCAGAGGCCGTGGGTAGCTTTGCAACCCAGCGCTCAACCGCCGCGCCACCGGGGAGGCCCACGTATGTATATATTTTTATCAAAGTAAAATTTATCAAGGAACAGGAACACAATGATGCAAAGTCTCCATATCATATGCTTGCAAGTGTTACTTTTGAGGATGAGTCTTCAAACCTTTGAGCACAAATAATGACCCAGTTATGCGATATAGTAAACAGAGCCTTAATCTTGCTTAGGAAACCTAGGACCTAGCCCCAAGCAACATATTTATTGGCTACCTACTACTACTGCTATATAGTCACTACCCTACAAGGAACATCATTTGCCATTTTTTTTTTTAACTCTCAAAGCACTAAAAAGCATGTTAGTCATTCTCACAATACAAATAAAGAAATGGAGACACAGAGATAATAAGTAAATTCCATTTTAAGGCAGAACAAGATTTAGAACTAGCTATACCTGAAATTAAGTCAGTGTTCTTTTACTACACTTTGCGGTTTTCACAGTGTCCATTGAGATCTTAAAAAATACCACATATGGGGCCTCCCCGGTGGCGCAGCGGTTGAGCGCTGGGTTGCGAAGCTGCCCTCAGCCTCTGCAGCGCCAATTTGATCCCTGGCTGCTCCCCGGCCGTCGGAGGAGGGTCCCGCATGGCGCGCAGACTTCTCCTGCCGCCTGCTGCTCCCCTCAGCAGTGTACTTCGGTCCTTCTGTCTGCTCTGCTCCCTGCTCTGGCTCTGGTGAATTCTCTCACCCTTCCGCGCTTCTGACTGTACCCAGTGCTTGTATAAATAATAAATAAATAAATAAATAAATAAATAAATAAATAAATAAATAAATAAATAAATCTTTTAAAAAAAAATACCACATATGAAAACAGATAATACAATTCAAAGTGTTTTTCAAATATAGAACTTAATGGCATTGCTCTTTTCAAAGTCTATCCAAGGAAATCCAGGACTGGTTGTCCCTTTTATGAGTTCTGTCTCCCCAGTAAGTGATTGGTTTGTAAGGAAGACTATTTCTTTTATACTGTGCACCTCACAGAGCAAACACTCAATTAGTGTTAGTAGGTAATTATGATATGCTATTGCCAAATATTCACATTTAACCTCAGGATCCATTCTATATAATCAAAAATGTTTTGTGTGAGTTTCCATATAGGGTAAAAATGTGTACAGTCTAGCAATTTGGATGAATATGTAAGACATCTTGACTAAAACCCTTATCTATATCTGATTACTATCAATATTTTCTATTTATTTTCCTTATTATTTGAGATTAAATTTCCTACTGCAAGGGCTTAGTGGCATATGAAGTCAAGCAAATATTTTAGAACAAAGAGGGGCCTCCTGCTGGCCTAGGAGTTAGGTCTCAGCACTATCACCACTATGGCCTGAGCCCCATCCCTGGCCAGGGAGCTAACCCACATATGACACAGCAGACCTCTACTGTCTTGCCCGCTACTCCCCTTAGCAGTGTATTTCAGTAAATCCACCTGTTCTGCTCCCCATTCTGTCTCTGGTGAATCCTCTCACCCCCCCATACATCTGGCCTCCACTCCAATTCTACACAAAAATAAAAAAATATATAAAAATAAAGCCATTGAGCTACTTTCCTGACCTACTATATTTAAGCAGA